TGCCTTTTTAAAACATGTTCTGCTAGGTACATCCTTGACTACCCTGTTGGCAGTTGCCAGGAAAATATGGAAATATTTGCTATGATCTCCCGGGCTCAAGCAACAACAAACTGCAGCATGGCTCCTCAAGATGGCTCCTGCCTCACCAGTTGAGAAACAGAACTTTCAAATACCTGCTTAGTGTGCAGCCTCTGGTTCATCTAAGACAACTTTTTCTGTTCTACTGGTTTTTTTCCTTGCCAATTTTGTGTTTCTCTGTTATCCCTCCACTCTAGTGAACTAGTGCTGCTGCCACTACCACCACCAACTTAGCTACAGTGTATTCTTTCTTGTCCTTTGTTCAAGGTACCCAAATTTCTGAGTCTCTAAGAGTCTCTGACAATCCAGTATTGAATTTCAATGAGTTCCCTCTTTTACCTACTTTGCTGAGAAGCAGTACTCTTAACTGCTTGAATTCTGAGCCATGGAGTAACTGGAAATGCAGCCTTCCTCTCTTTCAGTCTTTTTGAAGAACCAACCTTATGTTTTTTGGTCTGTTTGTTTTGTTTTTGTTTTTGAGACAGAGTCTCACTATACTACCTAGGCTTGTCTCAAACTCCTGGACTCAAGTGATCCTTCTGTTCCAGCCTCTTAAGTAGCTGGGATTATAAGGGTGCACCACCCTATTTGGCTTGGATGTTTTTTTTTTATTTCATTAAATTGTTGTTTCTTGGGACTGGGATTGTGGCTCGGTGGTAGAATGCTCACCTGGCACACTTGAGGCACTGGGTTCAAACCTCAGCACCACATTAAAAAATGAAATAAAGATATTATGTCCACCTATAACTAAAAATTATTGTTTCTTTCCTTGTATTTTCTTTTTGTTACATTTTTTCTGTTCTCTTGAGTTGACTGCTTAGCTCTTTTCAGCCATCTTATTTTCCTTTATGGGCATTTTAAAGATAGAATTTTTGCTATATCCCTCAAGTTTTGGAATGTAATATTTTCAATCTTATCTATAAATGTTGATCTTCAGGCTGGGCACGGTGGTGCACACCTGTAATCCCACTGACTTGGGAGGCTAAGGCAGGAGAATAGAAAGTTCAAAGCCAGCCTCAGCAACTTAGTGAGGCCCTAAGCAACTTAGTGAGACTGTCTGAAAATTAAAAATAAAAAGGGCTAGGGATATAGCTCAGTAGTTAAGTGCTCCTACGTTCAATCCCTGGTACAAAAAAAAAAAAAAAAACAGAACAAAACAAACAAAAACCACATTGATCTTCAGCATTTGGAAATTTTTCTTAAGTTCCTTTGAACATCTGTGCTCTTACTACTGTGACTGCAGTACCAATCTGCCAATAACTTCTTTTTGAACCCCAACTGTTTTGTATTTATGAGTTGTAATGATAGTGGGTGCCTTGCTTAGCACAAATGTCCAGCTAGGGCCTGGATATAGCAGGAAAAACAAAACCTACTGCCAGTTGCAAGGGAAGGTGGGATCCTAATGTGTAATTCATCCTGTCTCTGGATGTTCTCCAGACCATATTTATACTGCCAGGTAAGTCCCTGGCCAGGTATCCCCTTGAGAGTTTGTCTCGTTAAGTCTTTTCCAACTTCATCAGCATCTGTTCCTTATAATGGTTGCCCAATTTGCACAGTTTAATTAATTGATGAAATATTTTGCTTATTCTCAGAATAATGTGGATAGAATCTCATTTATATTGAACAAAAAGCATGTTTCACGTTATCAATGTTAAAAGTTCCATTTTCTGCCAGGCACAGTGGTGCATGCCTGTAATATCAGTGGCTCAAGTGGCTAAGACAGGAGAATCCTAAGTTCTAGGCCAGCCTCAGCAAATAGCAGGGGCCTAAGCATCTTAGTGTCTCAACAATCAAAAAGGGCTGGGGATGTAGCTCAGTGGTAAAAAGTTCCTGGGTTAAATCCCCAGTACAAAAAAAAAAAAAAATTTTTTTTCCCTTAAACCAAAAGATTGTATTCTGAACATTAGGTTTTAATCATTCTTTAAAAAAACAAAACAAAACAAAAAAATAGACACAAATCTTTATTTATTTATTTATTTTTATGTGGTGCTGAGGATTGAACCAGTGCCTCGTGCGACAGGTTTTAATCATTCTTATGGTAGGATATAGGTCTCATCACTTGTAAAAGGGTATTTATTTAATAAATCCTAGTGAATTTCAGAATGTATGTAATAACCTGGTCAGTCCCTGGCATATAGTAGACATTCAGAAACTGTTTTTGGAAGTACCTGGAGCATGGTCACAAAGAAGTAAAATACAGTGTACCTTGATTTTTTTTTAACTTCTTTTTTTTATATTTGTTTTTTAGTTTTGGTGGCCACAATATCTTTATTTTGTTTTTATGTGGTGCTGAGAATCAAACCCAATGCCTCATGCATGCTGAGCGCTCTACCACTTGAGCCACATCCTCAGCCTCATTTTTTAAACTTCTGAATGTAGAAAGGTAGCATTGAATGTTCTTCTTATGAGATTTGTATTCAGAGCCTATTAATATAATCAAAAATTTGAAAAGCAGTATATTCTTACAATGAGTTCTTGTTTTTTTCTACTAGAGAGTCATCCTATTTTGCTCTGTCTACCCTGCAGAGTCCTACAAAGTCTATAAACAGCCAGCTCATGTGGAATGTCTATCACACTGTAGCAAGGCAGGCAGGAAATGTGTGTACTGGCCTCTCTCTCTCCTATCCTAACAAGGCAGTTTCACAAGGCTGGAAATATAAAACAGTGCATTTCCTGGATGCCACAAAGATAGATTATTTTTGTCCAATTGTGTGATCATACGTGGTTTTATTTTAAATTTTATTTTCTTGCATTGTTTGTGAGCTATCCTAATCCTTTTTAATGAGGTATTAGCAAATCAATAAAGTTAAAGGGATCGGAGTCTGCCCTTCCTGTGGTGTACAGAAAGGTCCACTATTTTCTACTGAGGCCAGTTTGTTCCCCACATGTTCTAGGTAACATTCTTTCCCATGCCTCTCAAACCTAAATCCACTGGCTATTCTCCCTACCTCCTAGGCTTAAGAACTTCTGAAGAAACTAGGCCACAAAAAAGGGGTGGTGAGGCTGAGGTTGTGATAGAATGCTTGCCTAGCATATGTGAGGCACTGGGTTTGATCCCCAGCACCACATAAAAAAACTAAACAAAAATGAGGTGGTAATTGTATTCACTTTATCAGACTTCTTTGGCTGTGGAATGTTAAAATACATGTAAAATACTCACCAGAGTGCCTGCTGGGAATACACAGCAACCTTAACAGATTCTTTTCTATATGGGGTCCCCGATACCTCCTCCTGTCCTGTATGTATGACTGAATCTCTCCTGAGCACATACACACTCTTCTTCTCACTTTGTTTCTCCTACAGCTACTAGCCTATATAATTCCTTTTACAGCCAGGCATTTTGAGGATGTTTTCTAATAATGTGGATTAGAAGAAGCCAGAAAAAAAAAATTACATAATTTTGACTATGATGTTAAGGAACAGCTATAACTAAATTATAAGGACAGAAATTAGATGTTACTTCATGGGCAGTTGGTAGTGATTTTGACTAAGAACTTCAGAAGCCTTTTGGAGAATGGAAGTATTTTCTGTTTTGATCTAGAGTGGTTACACGGGTTTACATACATATAAAATTTCATAAAGGTATAGCTTTGAAATTTGAGCACTTTAAATTATGGATGATATACATAAGAAGGGCACCATCCTTCACCATCTGTCACTTTTGCATATCTTCCTACCACTCACTACCTTCCTCTTAGTTACCAGTATGTTTCTACACATTTGAATCTTTCTTACTCTTGATTTCCCAACAGTACTGATGGGAAACAGTACTGATGAAACTCTCTTCTTACAATTAGAAGCTCTTGCTTTATGAAAATATTCTTAAACCTAGACGTATCCTTCCCTCTTGGTGACCCTGCCTCTGGCTCCTTGATTTTCCTTGTGGCTCCCCATATTTTGTCAGCTCCCATCCTGTAGTTCTTTGTGTAATGTTAGAATTCCTGGTGATTTGGCTACCTAATATAGCATCACAGAAAGCCCTTTAAGAAGCTGTGTTTTTTGCTTACATGGGACAGTGATATGAATGTGTCCTGGGATTAGATTAACTCTGGAACATCAATATCAGCTACATGTGGTGCCCATTTGGTTAGTAAAAGGGTCAAAAACTGAATTGTGCCTGAAAGCCTCTTCTTCCATGTCTGCTTGCTTAAGTCTCACCTCCTTCTAGCTGTTGCTCAGATCTCACCTTCTCAATAAAACTGGTGTACAGTAGCCAGCCCCTCCTCCACACACAGTCCCTGTCCTCTTTTCCTATAATACTTACCACCTTCTAACACAACAGGACTGTGATGTTGGTTGTTTATAATTTGTTTATCCTACCAGATTGTACATTCCACAAGTGTAGGGATATTTGTTGTATCCACTGATATCTTACATGCTGAGAAAAGTGCCTGGTACATAGTAATTTATTAAATTATTTGTTGAGTTGTCTGAACGACCAGGTGGTTTAAAATCAAAGCAAGCAAGATAAAAGCCTGAGGCTTATGAAGTGGCATCAAAGTATCTTCTTCACCAAGGCAGTGCCTTTCAGATCCATGCTTTTTGTTTGATGATCAGGATTGTCCCTGGACCCCCTACTCAGGTGTAGCCAGGACACTAATTTGACATTAATTTGCAGCATTCTTAGTCATTGGCCCCATCTTAGGTTTCAGTAGCAGACCAACATGAGCGATCAGCAACAATGCTGTGTGCACTGGGCATATTCATGGAGATAAATGTGAGTATTTGAGAGGTGTCAGTCATAGTTGGGTTAATGTTCCTGCTCCCCAGCATCTTCTTATTTTGTTCTAAATTTGTTAGCCATTGATTTATTTGTAGAGTTGGAAATAAGTATAGATAAGAGATCAGGCAATGAGAAAACAGTCTATTTCTGTTTTTCTTCAGTGCTCTCTATGGCTCTGACCTGACCTCCTCTCTTTCAGGGTGAAAAGGCTGATAGCTTTTACATCATAGAATCTGGTGAAGTGAGCATCTTGATTAGAAGCAAGGTGAGTTTCTGTGAGATGCTACAAAGAGCCAGGTGCCTGGTGTATACACAGAAGTAACTGTTTGCTTTAAATAATGTGAAATGTGATCAAGCCATCATTGTTACTGCCAGAGACATATGGTTAAAGCCCATCTATTGATATGGATTTGGTATATTTCCTCTTACTCTACTGCCTTTACATTTGTCATGTAGTAAATGTTATGAGGAATATTACCCTCCAAATAAATAAGAAAAAGATAAAAACCCTTAAAGAAAATAGGGAAATTACATTAAAAAAAAAATACATATGAACTGGGCATGGTGGCGCATCCCTGTAATTCCAGTGGCTCAGGAAGTTGAGACAGGAGGATTGCGAGTTCAAAGCCAGCCTCAGCAATGGCGAGGCGCTAAGCAACTTAGTACTTTAAAATACAAAATAGGGCTGTGATGTGGCTCAGTGGTTGAGTGCCCCTGAGTTCATTCCCCAGTACCCCGCCTCCAAAAAAAAAAAGTTCATCACAGCTTAAAATAAATGAAGTGAATTAAAAAACAAAAGTATATATGGAGCTGTGTGCAGTGGTACATGCCTATAATCCCAGAGGCTCAAGAGGCTTAAGACAGGAGAATCACTATTTCAAAGCCATTCTCTGCAACTTAACAAGGCCCTAATCAACTCAGTGAGACCCTTTCTCTAAATAAAATATAAAAAAAGGTCTGGCTCAGTGGTTAAGTACCCCTGGGTTCAGTCCCCAAAACCCACCCCAAATGTACATATAGGGGGTGAATATGAAGAAAACTTCCTACTGTTAGGGGGACATCTCCAGGATATATAGGAGAACTAGAAAACTGATGATCTGTAAGTGGAAGGAGTGAGCCTTACTGATCAATCTATCATTTCCAGATTGCCACCTTCTTCTTCTTCCTCTTTTAAATAGTTGTAAATGGACAGAATCCTTTTATTATTTTATTTGTTTATTTTTATGTAGTGCTAAGGATTGAACCCAGTGCCTCACATGTGTAAGTGCTCTGCTACTGAGCTACAGCCCCAGCCCTCTTTTTTATTTTCTTGGGAAGCATAGAATTTTTTAAAGTAGTGAGTTATCTCTAATACTAAATCAACCTATTATGAAACCTGTTGCAAAACATTTAGTAAAGTCTAATAAGTATGGAGAAAGAAAACTATGATTATTATAAGATAAGATATATAAGATAATCACATCTATAAGATAGTGTGATTCCTAATTTAAAATAGATCTGTAATTTCACATCAAACAGTAGTTTGAAACTTCTGGGGTTTTTTATCTTATAGTTTTTGGACTTCTGATATATTTGTGTACTTCTCAAATGTTCATTAGAACTTTCTGTTAAGCATATTGTGAGTGAGACCAACAGCAGCATGGCAAGGGGAGTTGGAAGGCTTGTCAAAAATTTAGTCTTAGCTGGGCACGGTAGCGCATAGCTGTAATCCCAGTGGCTCAGGAGACTAAGGCAGGAGGATCTCGAGTTCAGAGCCAGCCTCAGCAAAAGCAAAGTACTAAGCAACTCAGTGAGACCCTGTCTCTAAATAAATACAGAATAGGGCTGGGGATGTGGCTCAGTGGTTAAATGCCCCTGAGCTTGATCCCCAGTAGCCCCTGCGCAAAAAAAAAGAAAAATGCAGTCTTGAGCTGGGTGAGGTGGTGCATTCCTATAATCTGAGTGACTCAGAGGCTGAGGCAGGAGGATCATGAGTTTCAAAGCTATCTTCAGCAATTTAGAGAGGCCCCAAGTAACTTAGTGAGACTGTCTCAAAATAAAATATAAGAAGGGCTGAGGATATGGCTAAGTGGATAAGCACCCCTGAGTTCAACCCCTGGTTCCAAAAGAAAGAAAGAAAAGAATAGTTCAATACAGGCACAGAATCAAAGAAAAGTATTTCAGGATTGGACTTCTTATCTAAGGTAAGATTTTACATTTTATATATAAATAGAGAGAGAGAGAGAGATCTTCCATAGAAAATATAATTTTCCAATAGTGTATACCTTACTGTTGATATTTAGCTATTACCTGAAATTTGTTAGGTCTCACTCACAATATACTTAACAGAAAGTTCTAATGAACATTTGAGAAGTATACAAATATATCAGAAAACCAAAAACTATAAGAAAAAAAAAACCCAGAAATTAAAACCCCCAGGTAAAAGCTAACTCTTTTTTTTTTTTTTTTTTAGGTAGTTGGATAACATGCCTTTTCTTTTTTAGTTGTAGATGGATACAATACCTTTATTTATTTATTTTTATGTGGTGCTGAGGATAGAACCCAGTGCCTCATACATGGTAGGCAAGCACTCTGCTATAGCCACAACCCCAGCCCCAACAATATGCCTTTATTTTATTTGTTTATTTTTTTTATGTGGTGCTAAGGATCAAACCCAGTGCCTCAAATGTGCTAGGCAAGTGCTGTGCCACTGAGCTACAGTCCCAGCCCAAAAGCCAACTTTTTTTTTTTTTTTTTGGTACCAAGGGTTGAACCCAGGGGCGCTTAACCACTAAGCTACATCCTTAGAGACAGGGCCTCACTGAGTTGCTAAGGCTGGGTTTGAACTCATGATCCTCTTGCCTCAGCCTCCTGAACCACTGGGATTACACATGTGTGCCACCATACCCAGCCAAATCCAAAAAGCCAACTCTTTTTTTTTTGAGGGCAGGGTACCAGGGATTGAACTCAAGGGTACTCAACCACTGAGCCACATCCCCAGCCCTTTTTTGTATTTTATTTAGAGACAGGGTCCCACTGAGTTGCTTAGTGCTTCTCCATTGCTGAGGCTGGCTTTGAACTTGTGATCCTCCTGTTTCAGCCTCCCCAGCCACTGGGATTACAGGTGTATGCCACCGCGCCTGGCTCAAAATGCCAACTCTTGATTAAGCCAGAGCACTGAAAATAATCTATGGAGTTTATATGGTACAGTTAGAATTTCTGCAAAGTAATTTCCTTAGTGTTGAGTGTGCTGAGAAGAGAATGTGAGCATGTGCAATTGGACCTCTCCAGCTGTGATCCTAGAGTCAGACCAGGTGATGTTCTCTACCTGTCTGTAGACTAAAACAAACAAGGATGGTGGGAACCAAGAGGTTGAGATTGCCCGCTGCCATAAGGGACAGTACTTTGGAGAGCTTGCACTGGTTACCAACAAACCCAGAGCTGCTTCGGCTTATGCAGTTGGAGATGTCAAATGCTTAGGTAAGAAAAATTCTTTATGCATTAATACTTTTTTTTCTAATGTCAGTATATTACTATTTTCCCATCAGCAATCCTTGACTTATTCTGCCAGCTCTCACTCACATCTAGGCCTGGACAATTTGTAGTTTGTATGACCAACCAGAGATGGACAAATGTATTCTTTCAGCATGCTTTTTTTGTGGGGGAGGGGGAGTGCTGGGCATTAAACCCAATGCCTTGCACATGCACATACTGAGCACATGCTTCATCACTGAGCTACACCCCAGCACCTTAGAAAATATTTCTGAGCACTGGGCACTGTGAGTAAGAAAGGCATTCAGGCCCTCCAAACATGTGAAAAGAGGCACATGTCCAGGGCTGTTGGGGAATAGAATAGGCAGATGCCACTGGACTCTGCAAGTTTTAAACTTAAATGACAGTCCTGCTGTATTCATATAGAAACATCACTTTATCCACATACCCAGTATCCCAAAGTCTAATGTTCTTCTTAAAGAAAATGACTTAAATTATTAGTGAAGAGAATTCATTCTCTCCTTCACCTCTTTTTAACAATGCAGTTATGGATGTTCAAGCATTTGAGAGGCTTCTGGGGCCCTGCATGGATATCATGAAGAGAAACATCTCACACTACGAGGAACAGCTGGTGAAGATGTTTGGCTCTAGCATGGATCTGATTGACCCTGGGCAGTAGATGTGCCACATCCCAGAGCCTTCTCAGTGTGACACCAAAAACTTTCGGTCAGCCACAGAACATACACAGAAGACAGACACGACAAAACTGTTCCTGCTGTTGCCACTGCTGCTGCCATTGCTGTGGTTATGGGCATATAGAAAACTTGAAAGTCAGCACTAAAGGATGGGGAGAGGTTTGACCCACACCTCCACTTTGCTTCTGAAAGCCCATTATTAGACGACTTGTAATGATTACTTCAACCCAGTTTTCACATCTTTGGTTCAGAATGGCATGTCTCTCCAACAATTTAAGTGCCTGATACAAAGTCCAAAGTGTAAACATCCTCCTTTCCTTTCTTGCTGCTACTGTTGCTTTTGGAATTACCCATAAGGTCTGCAGAAACCTGTTGTATAACTGTAGACATCCTCCTTCAATCTTTCTCAAGGAAGATTACAGCCTCAATTTCCTTGTTTGTCTTTTGAGAAAGTCCATAGTGTGTTCACAGTTGCTGCCTTTAGTTTTACGGTAGAAAATGGCAGCGGATGTAATAGAAGTCTGTGGTCCAGTGGCATTGTATTGTCTTCTGACAGCTGCACACATTACAGCTGTCTCCAAGCCCACAGTGATGCTTAGGGAAAGACCCTGTCTAGGGCCCAGAAGGTGAGTACTCTAGAACAGACTGAAATCAGTGAGACCCATGTTAGAACAGAAACTTTGGATTCATCACTTTTTACCAGTAGTAGAGAGCCAGGAAAGGTTTTTTTTTAGGTTAAGGGTTCTGGTTTTTTATTTTATAGTTGGTTTTTGTTTTTGTTTTGTTTAATCTCTGTGCAGTTTGCATGAGTGAATTGCTATCCATTTAAAAGGAGCCCAGGGGTAGCCAAGTTAGCTCAAATGGTTAGAGCATGGTGCTGATATAAGAAGCCAGGATCTGGAGGTGCCATTGCTTTTTATGACCTAAAAACTTTCCTGAGCAACTCCTGCCATTTCTTGTTTCCATGACTACTACTGGCTCATGACAATATCCTGGCAAGAGTTTGTTACCCAGAGAGCTCTTTTGTTCTACTCCAGAGTTGTTGCATAGCTTGACTATTGAAACATCAATTTTTAAACTTTATAGAAGCAGCAGCTAATTTTTTAATTAAAGAAGATTGTTTCTCTATTTATGAAATTCCCCTTAGAGATGTTTAGCTTGTATTTAAAACTTTTTAATCAAGAGGCCATTTCCAATATATGTATAAGGCCTTTTTTAAATGTGTATAACTCAGTAAATCCCTAAGAGATTATTTGTTGGCATTTGAATCGTTCATGTTGTGGGTAATGATGGAATCACCCAGTCACCTTTCATTGTCCACATAAACTAGACTGCTTTTTCCATAGACACTGTGGCCAAGAGATTTCCAGAATGAGTAACCTACCAAAACCTTCGTAATCCCTCCTTTTTTCTTATGTTTCATGAAGTGAAAGCAGAAAAACTCTTCAGATTGCCTTAGACAACGTACATTGCAACTCTCAGATTTGTGAAAGGCTGTAATTTATACTCCAGGTAGCTAGCACTGGGATTGCCTGTGCGGTGATCCCGCATTTTCCTAAGGTTGTTTTCTGTAGTATTGCTTTATCAAACAATTCAGGAAGTAGGTCTTATGCTCTTAATAGACAAGAACTACACCTGTTTCTTGCGAAAGTAATAGGTACTTTGGCTTCAGTAGTGACTTACTAGTCCAGCCCCAGAACTTGTGAAGACTATTTGAACACTGAGCTAATGCTCCCTCCCCACCCTCTGTGCCAGCCTTAAATAGGGCTGGCTGTGGTTCCTGTGCCAGAGTTAACTCCTGAAGGTTCTCACACATTCCAGTCTAGTCTTTCCTTTCACAAGCCCTCTTTGACACCCCTGATTCACTGATGGTTGCTGTTTTACAGAGTTACAGAATTCATCAGGTCTAACTCCTTCTGCTCCATCTACTGTCTGACGTATGGATCATCAGTCCAGACCCTCACTGCATATAAGGCCCCTGTGGCAAGGGATGAGGGTGTTGCTGAGGAAGAGACAGAGGCTAACATGAGCGAAAAAGGACATAGCCATTACCACAGTGCCAGGGACAGTATTCCAAATCTCTGCAGCTTGGAGAATCAAATGTAGCAGACCAAGTTTGACTCAGGACTGAGGTATCTCCATTGTGCTAAGCAAGACCTACATTCTCATGGGGAGAATCTTGTTAGAGCTTCCAAGGATTAGAGAGCTTCACATCCTCTTTTCTGGCTTTGCTCTGTTGCTTTTGAATGGTAAGAAGGTTCCTGAGAGCCTTGAGGTCCAGCTGGCAGAATTGTCCTTCCTTTTTACCACCAGCTTATCTCACTCACTGTCTTCTCTTGGTTTAATTCTCTGAAGGAAGGGTTCATGTGCTTTTTTCCTCTTAGTCCATAGTCTTCATATATAATTGTGTTACATATAATTGCTATAGATTCTCAGAAATCAGGGTAGAATTTTTTTTGAGCAGTTTAATGAGTAAATTCAGCAGCAAAGTGGCAAAAAAATAGTTCTCCAGTCACAAGAGATTATTTTCATCCTCTTTTTGCCCAAATTCCCTGCTCACAATGGTAAAGTGGTCAGTTAAGAAATGCCACTGGCACCCAGCAGCACCCTGGGCACACAGCATTTCATGTCGTGTCACAGTGTATAGTCTTCTCTCGTTTAGAAAAAGTAAAAGAATTTGGCACAGAGAAAAAGGAAAAGGACCCATGAATGTCATCTTTTATCCTTTGTTTTCATTTGGCTGATGATGGAAAATTTGTTATTGACAAGCACTTGTAAACCAGTCTTGCCAAGGTATGAGTTGTTTTGATTTTTCACTACAATTACCTCTTGTTGCTCCTGTCTTGACTGCTGACGTTCCTCAGTGATTTTATTGTCTATTTTATGGGAAGTGGCCTTCCTTCCTATGGGTTTCCTTTTACACACTGTAGGGCTATCTTTATACTTAAAAAAAAAAAAATGGTGAAACTGTCACTAACCTCATGGGGGATTTGCAGAAAACCACTCAGCCCACCTTGAACAAAGGTTAAATTCCTCATTGTTTTTTAACTCACTGTAATAAAAGAAATCTAATTCAGCATTATAGTGCTACCTCAAAGGTAAAAATGTTTTAAGGTCATTGGTCCTGAGTTCTATACATGGTGTTTGAAGTGTCTTTAAATTAGAATTACTTTTTAAATCATTGGGGTGAATCTCATTTTAGCCTGTTTTACACTTGTATTTTAATCTCTGAAGGATAAGTGATTAGAAAGCAGTCAATCCTTGCTCTGTGATATTGAACATATAACTAAAAATTCATTCAGAATTTAATCATTGTTTGCCATAAACAAGGTTGGGTTTTTTAAAAGAAAAAACTAGTGCTCAGAATTTCACTCTTGGTTAATAAAGGCTGACAAATCATGTCTGGTTTTCTGGTGCAGTCTTGTGTCATGTGTTTGTACTCTCTCTCTCTCTCTTTTTTTTTTTTTTTTTTTTTTTTTTAGAATTTTTTAATATTTATTTCTTAGTTTTCAGCAGACACAACATCTTTGTTTGTATGTGGTGCTGAGGATCGAACCCAGGCTGCACGCATGCCAGGTGAGCGCGCTACCGCTTGAGCCACATCCCCAGCCCCTGTACTCTCTTTTTTTGGGCTCCATGGATCACAGAGTTCATCAGGAAGATACACTGTTGAAACTGGTGTATGAGCCCTTGAAAATTAGGGAGGAAACCTGGGTATATGTACTATTCAGAGTTCTCCAGAGAAACAATCAATAGGGTGTGTGTGTGGTGTTTGTAGAGAGATTTATTATAAGGAATTGGCTCACATAATTGTAGAGGCAGGAAAATCCCAAGATCTGCAGGATGAGTCAGCAGTGTGGAGACCCAGGACAGCATATGGTTTAGTTCTAATCTGAATCCAGAGGCCCAAGAACCAGGCAATGATGTATCTCTTGTCTGAAGGTCAGCAGGCTCAAGCCCCGGGAACTGCTAATGTTTTAGTTTGAGTCTGAGGGCAGGACAGAAATCAATGTGCCAGTTCAAAGGCAGAGAGAAAAAAAAAATTTTTTTTTTTTTTTGGTACTAGGGATGGAACCCTGGGGCACTCAACTACTTAGCCACATCTGTAGCCCTTTTTTTGTATTTTATTTAGAGACAGGGTCTTGCTGAGTTGCTCAAAGTCTCCTGAATTGCTGAGGCTGACTTTGAACTTGAAATCCTCCTGCTTCAGCATCCCAAACTGCTGGGATTACAGGTATGCACCATCTCACCCAGCAAAAGTCAGCTTTTTTGTTCTGTTTAGGCATTCAAATGATTTTATGAGACCCACCCACCTACATTAGGGAGGTCCACCAAGTTAAATGTTGATCTTTGCTGGGTACTGTATCAGCTTGTCACTCCAGCTATTCCAGAGGCTAAGGCAGATGGATTGCAAATTAAAGATCAGCCTGAGCAACTTTAGTAAGATCCTGCCTCAATAAAAGGGCTGTCTCAATAATGCACCAGTAAAGATGGGGTTGGCACATGCCTGTAATCCCAGAAGCTCAGGAGGCTGAGGCAGAAGGATTGAGAGTTCAAAGCCAGCCTCAGCAACTTATTGAGGCCCTAAGCAACTCAGGGAGTCCCTTTCTCTAAATAAAATACAAAAAAAAAAAAGGTTGGGGATGTGACTCAGTGGTTAAATGCCCCTGAGTTCAATCCCCAGTACCAAAAAAATAAAAAATATGTATTTAAAAAGTAAATAAAAGCCTGGGGATGTACCTCAATGGCTAAGCACCCCTGGTTCACACACACAAAAAAAAGTTCCACAGCAATGTCACAATCATATCTACAGTCTCTGTCTTAAAGAAGGAACATTACATGAGGACTTTACTTTCTGTGTTAGTATAACAGGAAGCTAGAAATTTGTCCCTTCAGAGTTACACAAACATGTTCTCAATGATCTTAGTCACTTAATTTTATAATAAAAAAATTAAAATAGTATCACTTGTAATGTGGAAAGAAACGGGTAATTTCACAAGGCGTCATCCTGTACCCACATTCTCTGAAGAAAAATGCCCCATCACAGATGATGGCCAGTGATACATACTGTTACTTGACTGGGGACATGCAGAGTGTTAACCAGGAACATAATAACAGTTGTGAATTAAGATGAGTATTAACAAGTTCTAAATTGGAATATCAGAAATTAGATCTGACCTGGCTAATTTGTTCATTGACCAAACCCTGATGACCAGCTATGGACATTCCTGACACTTCACACTCAAGGAATTAACTAGTTAATGGTACTGATGTCTACTAGGGAATTCTTGGACCTTCCCTTCGCTGATTGAGTTTATCCTCTTAAGTTTCTAGACTGCTGCAGATAGCAGCTGTGGTCTCCCATTTTAAGGATGATTAAGCTCCCAGTGACTGTTGCTTTTTGTCATGCAGCTCTTCTTTCTGTAGGCTGCCTTTGCCTGTTCATAAAATGAGTGGTATAGACACAAAAGCATGCAGTTCTACCTTGCATCATTTGATTCTAGTTATAAAAGTATCTGGAGGAGGGTTGGGGTTGTGGCTCAGTTGTAGAGCACTCGCCTAGCACACGCAAGGTGCTAAGTTCAATCCTCAACATCACATAAATAAATAAAGATATTAAAAAATTATTTTAAAAAGTATCTGGAGTAGCTGTGAAAGGAGAAAGACTAGATTTATTATCTGAAGGACTTCCCCTTCCCAAGTAAGAACTCAGAAATTGTCATCTTCGTGCTGGAGTTGTGGCTCAGTGGTAGAGCACTTGCCTAGCATGTGTGGAGGCCCTGGGTTCGATTCTCAGCACCACATATAAATAAATGATTAAAATAAAGGTCCATCAACATCTAAAAAAATTTTTAAAAAAATAAATTGTCATCTTCATGTTAGTCATTTGAAACATCATGAGAAACATTAGTTATAGGTGGCTTTCTGGGATAGGTTTACTTTCTGTGATAACAGCTGCCAAGAATTGAATTTTTCTGTGAAATATTTTTTTTCATAGAGTATATTCTCCATTTAATAAATTTAGTCTTATTTATGTAATACAATTAAACTAAATTTGAACTTTTCTATTTTGAAATCTGATAATTCAAATTTAGAATTTTTAGAACATTTTGGCTGAATATCATCATTAAACTATATCTTTAAAATAGATTACCTGGAGAGTTCAGGTGATCTATATAAGAATACAAGAATAATGAAGCTAATTAAGGGGCTGAGGATGTGGCTCAAGCGGTAGCGCGCTCGCCTGGCATGCGTGCGGCACGTGTTCGATCCTCAGCACCACATACAAACAAAGATGTTGTGTCCGCCGAAAAACTAAAAAATAAATATTAAAAAAATTCTGTCTCTCCACTCTCTCTTTAAAAAAAAAAATGAAGCTAATTAAGATTAAAAAAATTTGCTTTGAAGTACTTAAAAGTATAGCATTCTATACAGAAAGTACTCAACAGTCATTAAACACTAAATGAACATAAGATGCCTCAAGTTCTTCCCAATCACTTTTCTATATTAATTAGTTTAAAATACCATTTGGGGGCGGGGGATGTGGCTCAAGTGGTAGCACGCTTGCCTGGCATGTGTGCGGCCCGGGTTCGATCCTCAGCACCACATACAAACAAAGATGTTGTGTCCGCTGAAAACTAAAAAATAAATATTAAAAATTCTCTCTCAAAAAAAAAAAAAATACCATTTGGCAAATTGATCAGTTTGGTTCAAGCAAATTATTTGTATATATACACATTTTATCTTTGCTAATAGAGTTCCCTGAAGGCATTCTTGTCTTGTTCATCTCTGCATCCCTAACAAACATAATAATGTTGTATGTCAAGTATTATAGTTGACCAATATTTACACAAATTAACAAACTGCATTTAAGTACTTGAAACTCACTTGGCAGTCTTAAAACTCACTGTTTTTCTTAGTAATTTGTTCTGCTCTTCCTCATTAGTCCACATTAGTTGATGTTTTTATTATATATCCAAAGAGCACACTTTACCCATTTATTACCTTTAATGAATTTATTTATAGCAAAGATAAGGATACAAATATCTTCCATATATAATTGGTAAGATATTCCTTCATTTCTGGGGCTGTAGCATATGCTATGCTACCCAGGCTGCAGACATTGAAGTGAGAAGAATGGTGCCTCCTGGGCAGTGGGATGCAGCAGCCTGCTCATGTCCTCTGGCTCAGGGGCTAATTCACAAGATTTCCATTCTAAGAATCAACCTATAAATTAACATTATTTTCGAAAGATTGCTAAGACAGTTTGTTTTGCTTGAAATAGAAAAGATGGTTTAGTCAGAACAGACATCAACTTGACAGCGTCATAATGTCATAATGAATAAAATTTTGAAATATTTATAAAGTTTAATAGCTATCTTGGAAATGAAGCAATTCACTGAATATTCTTTCACACACATTTACATTTAATTAGTGCTAAAAGTAAGATGTTCATAATTTCTCCAGTATCAATCTGAACATAAAACTAACTTAAAATAATAAGATGCAGGTTCCAGTACAAATTTCCTAGTTAGTCATATCATCCTGGACAAGCCATTTTAGATCTCTGCCTTCACCCACATCAAGCAAGGGTAATCATAGCTTTTCTTAACCTGCCTTCTAAATAAGCAGACATAAGATTATGTGGTAACATTTTGCTTAAGTCACTAATCACAAATAAGGTAAACTATATAAGATTTTCATCATCCTCAGCTATTTTCTAATATTTCACTAATATTTTTATAACCAATGTAAAAATCGCATGTTTAATACTACAAAATTCAGTAGTTATACAAGGTGAAGTAAAATGGTAAAGCTAGTCATAAGAATAAACCCATTCAGCCATGTTCTCATTTAATTATGTTAAAAATTATAAAAATAGGTAAAGTTTCACAAAAATATTTCTTCTTATGGTAGTTTAGGAATTCTTGCCCACATCAATAGATTGTCTGGCATCAGCTATGGCCTCAGGTACTCGAACAGTCATATTGTCCATAGATTTGGTCAAACAGATTTGGCAGCCCAACCGTGATCTGTCTGTGAGCCCATAAGCCAGACCGAGCATGTCATTCTCCTCATCAGTGATTGTTTCTAACTTCTCATATATGTGATCTTCAAAGATGAGGTGACAAGTAGAGCAAGCCAAGGTTCCCTCACAAGCACCAAAACCATCAATATCTAGATTATTTTCAACCACAACATCTAGAAGAGAGTCACCAACTTTTCCTTTGGTTGTTAATGTTACACCATCATTGTTTATAAAGTGGACTGTTATCTTCTGAGCTGCCCGCGCGCGCCGCCGCCCAGGCCCGTCCCCGGGTCCCCCCGCATGGGGTCCGGCGAGGAGCAGTGGGCGGCGGGCCGAGCCACCAGGGCCGCGGAGGCGATACGCAGGAGCC